TCATCCAGACTTGGAGCCGCCATGTTGGCCACGGTGGTGATGGATTTCAAACGGTATGTTAGATGCTACGCGAGTGTGTAGTAAATTGTAATGATGCATTGTGTGATACGCGATGCTACGCCCAAATTGACAAGGAACTTCAAGAGCGCAAAGGTAACCGTGCTTCGACGCGCGAAGTTCGGCTTTCCAAGGGGCTTCGGGGGCGCGATGGTAACCGTGCATCGACGCTTGAATTTCCGTAGACCACGCCCGCTCGAGCTTTTTGAAGGTGCTGACCCCTCACGCCCTTGACCTCCAAGCCCCGATGTACAGCAGGGCTACCACCTCCCTCTCCCAGCCCACGCTTTCTGAGCAACAGGGGGAAGGACGTGGAGGCTCTCGTAAGTATCGGGGTTTGGATCACTACAGCTTGTGCCAAATGTCATCCAGACGTGGAACTGCTATTTTGGCTACGCGTGGTGCCGCGGAGAATATGAGACGTGGTGGCGCCCACGTCGTTCCTGCTGCTGCCCCGTCGCCCCCACGTGACCCGCCAGATGACCAAGATCGCCCAGATGGCTCCGGATTGCGGAAATTTCTGCTTGAGAGATACAGGAGTGGAAAAATGACCGCTACCGACGTCTGTTTGCTGGCGCACTATTCGGTCAAGGCTGGAGCTGTTGGAGTGGGCGACTTGGCCCGCCCCCCTGGGTCAACCCACCACGCTGCTCATTTACGACAGGCGGGGAGCTGGACACAAGAACCCCCCTCGACCACGCCGTCTTGAAGCGAAGGGGCCCAGACCCAAACCCTCTCGTCACTGTCTGGGTCCAGACCCCTTTGCATCAAGAGGGGGAAATTGGGGTTGGGGGGCATTGGTTCTGGCTCCCCGCGACAGGCCATTGGAGCCCCTTCGGAACACGATTTCTATGTTGCGGATATTCCAGCTTGGCACAAAAACACGGAAACCAGATATATGCTGCGATTTCCGTTCTATCTGCCTCACGAGGCCTTTGCTGCCCAATATGAGGAGGACCCGTTGCAATTCGACGTGGGGCGTCTGGCTCCTGAACTTCGCCCTGGGACTTATGATGGCCACCCCGTCCGCTTGGAGAAAGGGGACCTGTGTGTCCCTGTTGGTCTTTACTCCGACGGGGTTCCCTTTTCGTAAAAAGATGGTTTCATTTGCTGGTATTGGTCGAATACCATTACTGGGCGACGAACACTGATCTGTGCTTTGAAGAAATCTGACCTTTGCCAGTGCTGTTGTAAAGGCACCTGCAGTATTCTAGCTGCGCAGCGCGTCTTGGTCCAGAGCCCAACATGTGTACGCGCAAATCTTCGGGGCTCTCCAGTGGATCCTCCTCGGTGTCGCGGCCACCCCCCCACGTCTTCCTCGACGGGGGAGGGGGGACGCCGAGAAGGGTCGACGAGGAGCTCCTGACATTTGCGCATGCACACCTTGGGCCCCCATCAGGCGTGGAGTTTCAACCAGATGGCCACTGGCCGCTGGCCAGCAGCCGATCACAACGGCGACCCGTTCTTGAATGAGGCACGTGCTGCGCAGCGTGGTTTTACTCTCGCTGGTGGGAAGTGCGGTGCAGTTTGCGAGTTCCGCGCAGACTTATTGGAGCTAGTGTCATCGCTGGGCTTGAAGACGTGGTCAAACCCCGAACACCCATGTATGTTTTGCCACGCTAAGAGGGATGACATGTTCAATTTCGCGCATTCGATCAGATCGCGTCAATGGGCAGAAAGAAACGCCGCTGATTATACAAGGGGTGTCCTGCAATGTTTGACAAAAAGAATGGTGGCATCAAAAGCACAGTTGCGGCGTCTTCTGGCGAAAATGACGTTTGATGAAAAGTTTGGAGGGTTGGGTTTGAATGAAGATTTCCCCGAGCTCAACCTTCTTGCTGGGCACAAGCTCATTGCCGATGAGAACGTGCGAGATATTCACGGAGTGGGGGACCTCGAGGTGCCTGAGGATGGCCTTATGGTGTCTTTCTGGGATACCAAACAAATCGGCCCTCTGAGCATGGTGTGTGTACTTTTTTCTATAATAGGCCTCACCATGGAAACTGTACACGTGGATTCCATGCACGTTATTGATTTAGGAGTTTTGCAATTCCTCGCAGGGGCCGTGTTTTACTATTTGATAGAAGGCAATTTCGCCCACAGCAATAAAGCCAGGGGGCAGCAAACGCCTGGCGCCTGAAGGCATTTCCCATGGGGGGGGGGGCCAGGGGGCCCCAGGGGACTGAACATGACGGTGGCGTGCGAAAGCAAGGGTCAGGTGTTTGTTGGCCCCTGTCCTCAACCGTGGCAGCCCGCAGGACTACGAATTTGATCCACCTCAATCGGCGTCTGAAGGCATACTATAGGACGAGAGCGTTTGCTCGTGGTAAATACTCCTGCATTAACAAAGTGACTTGGAAGATGCTGTCGCCGACAGCGAATGACGGTCCACGTTTAAAAGCAAAGGCAGCAGAAACTCGAAATCTGTTGCCTTTGCTCGTCGACCTCTGCCGCGAGAATTTGCAGTTTCTCGGCGAAGGCGGTAATTTCTTGTATTTGGCTACTCAGGAACTCAACAAAGTTCATGTCATCATGAAGCGTGAACCACGGCGCATGAGCGCTGCGGGTTTGACCACAATGCAATCTTCCATGGTGAAATTTTTGCATTTTTGGAAGTTGTGGGGAGGACATGAGGTTTACAAACACCACGCTTGTTGGTGCCTAGTCCGCCGTGCAGGTAGGCACGGCAACCCCAGATGGTACTGGACGTACAGAGACGAGCAAGAAAATAGGGTCATGGGGACTGCAGCTAAGAGCTGCCATGCTGGACCCACTTTTTACATCACGCTGCTCCAGAAAGTCATCCCTGACCCATAAGGGATTGCATGCAATCATCATTATCATCATCATGGAGGGAGGGGGAGGAGCAGGAAAAAGGGAGGAGGACAAGTCCCCACGAATCGGCCGATTGTTGTTCCACATCGGGGGGCTCAGGATTCAGGGGTTTGGGTCTTATCAGGAATAGGTTATCAGGAATAGGATGACATGAGGAACAAGATGACGAGGCGGCGGATGGCGAGGTTCCGGGCCGCCCAAGAGCGCAGGCCGCCGCGCCAACCGCAAACGCCCCGAGTTGCACCCACTTTTTGTTGAGACAGAGAAGCCGTGCGCGTCAGAGGTGCATTTGCCGCATTTTTTGCTGAGATAGAGAAGCCGTGCGCGTCAGAGGTGCATTCGCCTTTAAAGGCCCAGGGAAGCCTTGAAGGCCCAGAGGAGGAGGAGGAGGAGGAGGAGGAGGAGGAGGAGGAGGAGGGCAATTTAAGCGGCATTCCCGCCGAGGGCCCGCTCGCCCGCACGAGGCACTTTCTGTTCACTTCGATCGATGAGGAGTAAGGAAAAAGGAGGAGGGAGAGGAGGAGGAAAAGGAGGAGGAGGAGGCACTCGCCTACACCAGGGGCCAAGAGGCCGAGGTCTGGAGCAATGCCCCGTCGATCGCGGCGGCTGGATGTTTCACCCCCGCTTCGCCTGTCTGTTTTTGTTTTAGAGAGAGCCGTGCGCGTCAGAGGTGCATTGATGACGGGGGGGGGCAGGGGCGGGTAAGTGGGGCCCCCTCCCTCGCATTACACACGCAACACACACAACAAACACACACACTCACACACACACACACACACACACACACACACACACACACACGCACACGCACACACGCACACACACACACACACAAACACACACACACACACGCACACGCACAACACACACACACACAACACACACACACACGCGCAACACACACACAACACAGAACACACACACACACACACACACACGCAGCCCATACACACAACACGCACACACAACACACACCACACACACACACGCACAACGTGTCATGATCTTTTACCCGCGTTCCTTTTTTTTTCAACGCGGGTAAGAGCAAATATTTGCTGACGAGGAAAAGGGGGTGAGACCCAAGGAGGAGAAAGGGAACGTGGGGCGGGCGTGGATCGCCCTGCAATCCTTGCCGCGGGCCCCGCGCGCGGCCAGCGGCAGGACGCCGAGCGCGAGCGCGAGCGCAGCAGACGCCATCTTTTGATATGGGGTTGGATGTACAAGGGGGGGAAATCCACGGAGGGGACGTTTGGGCGGAGGCCGTGCGGTTCGCGTGGCGGGCCGCACGAGAATTCATAGTTCAGGCGCGCCAGGGATGGTTGAATGGGAGGACAAGGGGGGGAAACCCAGGAGGAGGGGGAGGGAGGGGAGGAGGGCTGGAACGATACCGAGTCGCGCACGACCATTTTGCGTGCGCGGGCAGTCCCACCACCCGCAGCCTTCCAGCTCTAGAAGAAAACGATAAAAGAAAAAACGCAAAAGGGGGAGGAGGATTCAACGATACCGATCGACCGTCAAAAAGGACGACGGCGATTGGTGGAAAAAAGACGAGCACAACATGCATGTTTTTTTTTCGGCCGCCCAGGCCGACGCCGCGGCGCCCGCGGCGGCCGTTGGCACTGCCCTCCCTTGCCTCCCCACCCCCCCGATCACAAACAACACAAAACATCCAGCGGGAACCGATCTCCGCCCCCTGCATGCGGCCGCTGCCGCACTGCGGGATACGCTCTCGTTTTTGTTGAGAGAGAGCCGTGCGCCTGAGAGGTGCATTTGCCGCTGCGCTCTGGACTGGCTGTTCCTTACAAGCACTGTGATCCCCCAAAAAAGGAGAAAAACACACACAAGACAACAACAGCAAAACAACAAAACAAACGTGCTGCCAACAAACAGCGCGATACAAAGAGGAAGAGGCCCCCCCAACAAAAAACGCTACTTCACATGAAAGCGTGACATATATGTCGACATACATGCTATGCTGGCGCATTAATTTTATGTTCGAGTAACGCAACAACGTCTATGTTGAAATGACTCCAATTCTTTCAGATGACCCCAGTTTTTGCTCCCGACCCCAATCAAAAATTGAGGTCTTCCCGACGACCTCAATTAAATCAAGGCCGTCGGATGTCTGGGGTGCCGCGCTCCGGGGCGCACGCCACGCGCCCGACGGAGCATACCTGCTCAGACGTCGGTGCCCGCGTGCCGGTGATCGCCCCGAGGACGTCCGGCACCTCGAAGGCCTCCCGCTCGCCGCGCGCGAAGTCGGAGTCCGCGAACTCGGCGAAGGCTCCTGATGCCCGCCCGTCGAAGCGATCGCGGAGGGCCCGGTACCATGATAGCCCCAGGGCGCCCGCGAAGACCTCGGAGTAGGCGGAGGAGTAGGAGGACACCTTGATGATCGCACCGTTGCTGACGGCCGACCCCCTGCAGTGCCGATGCGCGTGAGTAGCGCCCAGCGCGGGGAGGCGCGCGCCGCCCTCCCACAGCAGCCAGGCGCAGGCGAAGAGCTGGACCAGCTCGGCGCCCTTCGGCAAGCCCGCCTGCAGCAGCTCCACGTCGATCTCCGTGACGAGCTCCAGCCCGAACTCCACGCACGGCTGCGCCAGCGCCACCTCCACGCCCGGCTCGGGCCCCTGCGGCACGACGAAGCACGACAACCGATAGGAAAAACCCCGCGCGGCCTCCAAGGCCACGGAGCCCGCGGCCGGCGCTCGGCGGACCCGGATGCAGTTGCACGTGAAGTCCGCTCGGCCGCCGCCAAACTCCAGGAGGTCCCGCACGAGCTCCGCCGACACGGCGATGCAGGGGCCAGGCCCGACGGCCACTGCCGGCTGCGGGCGGACCGCGCGCATGCGCGCCGCCGAGGCCGCCACGTCGACCGCGTCGGGCTCCCCGAACGCCTCCTCCGGCGCCTCAGCCAGCCGCGCCTCCTCCTCGAGCTCGCGGTCGGCCCTGATGCACTGGCCGCACCGCGCCAGCACCAACGAACTCCGCCCGCACGCGCAGCGGCCGCCGCTGAACTCCAGCAGCCGCGGGGGGGCAGAGACCACCTCCTGCATGAGGACCTCGCCCAGCGTGGCCGACACCTTCACGCCCAGCGCCTCGCCGAGGTCCTGCCCGAAACGGCGGTGCGCCCCGGCGCCCTCCACCAAATAGAGGGGGGCCAGGCGCTCGTCGCCGTGGGCAGCCGCTCCGAACTCCGGAAACGCCTCTCGCACAAAGCCGATCCTGCTCGGGCTGTGGGCGCGCGGCCCGATCGCCACGAACGCCCTGACGTTCACCCACGCCTCCGCGACCTGCATGCCCTCCGCCTCTCTCGCGTACCGCAGCGCGAGAGCGGCCTCCACCACTCTGGGGTGGGCCGCTGCAGCCGCCACCAGCCCGCCGTGGCCCGTCCCGATCACGACCTTGGGCCACCGCGCGGCACACTCTCGCAAGACGGCGGCCGCTGCGGTCAGCACGTCATTGCGAAGCTGCTTCCGCGCCTTACCACTCGCATCACCTGGGAAGCGAGGAGGCGCGATGTAGTACAGGCCGCCGGCACCGTCTGCCAGCGGAGGGTCGTGCGGGATCATGCGAAGCCGCAGGCCTGGCGCCGCCAGCTGCAGCTGTCGAGCTGCCCGCGCCTGCTCTGCGCTCCGCCGCCTCTCGCATCCGTAGTCCGGCAGGCACAGCGCGATGGAGTCGCCCTTCTCGCGCTCCGCCCCGGCCACGGCCACCAGCTGCAAGGCGGCCGCGTCGGGGGTCTCGTCCAGGCCCCACGGGGCCCCCTCCCCTGGACGGTAGTCATCGCCGATGATGTCCTCGATCGTGATGTTCGCCAGGGAGTGAGCCTGCTCGCGCAGGAACTTGCCGTGGGCCTCGTTCTCTCGGGAGGGGCCATCACCAAGGGCCGCGCTCCGCCCCGAGAGATTCATCAGCCTGCTGCCGTCGCTCTCGATCTCGCCAACCCAGCGGATGACGGTGGAGTCCGTCTCGGCCTCACACGTAGCGTCCTTCACCGCTGCCGCGTGGTCCGTCCAGCACAGGGCGGGCAGCCGACCGAAATCCTTACGTGCCTCCCGCCTGGTCTCGCGCTGCGCATACAGCTCACCCCGGCGGGGGTGCCAATTGCTCTGCGCCAAGCTGAGGCAGCCGCCGTACATCGCCAGCACGTTGAGCGTGCGGCGGTCGGCGGCCAGCTGATACACGCTGCCACCCCAACCGTAGGGGCAAAAATCCGCGACCTGCTCGAGCGGGCGGTCCTTCGAGATCGCCCCGACCATGTCGATCACCGCGAGGCGGATGGCCTCGCACGCGAGCTGCTGGATGGCGCGCTGGGCCGCAACCTTCTCGGAGGTCATCGGCCACTCGGCGTCCTTCTTGAGCTGCTGCGTGAGGATCCCCAGCGGCTTCTGCACCTCCTTGGGGAAGTGGCCGCGGATCCAGTTGAACGTGCCAAGGAACCGCCGCAGCGCTGCCACGTCCTCGAGCACCGACCAGTTCTTGATAAGCTCCAGATGCCTCTCGCACGCCTCGCTGCCCTCGCGGCCCACGATCTCGCCGAGCGCCTCGATGGAGGGCTGAGCCAGCCTGTCGAGGGACTTCTCGGCACCCATGGAGTACCCGGCCGCGATGCACACGTCCAGCAGGCCCTCGACCGCCAAGAGATGCTCGAGGAGGGTGGTGGCCGCCTTCGGGTACTTCCGCTGCCAGTAGACCAGACGCTCGGCGTAGTACTCGTCCGTCGGCACCTCCAGCTCAACGATGTCCCGAAGCTCGTCCCAATCCTGCCACACGTGCGCCACTGACGGGTCATCGCCGGCCGGCTCGCCGTCGGTCTGAATCACGGCGCCCACGATGTCGCCGACCTCGATGCTGACGCCGGGCTGGTCCCAGTTGCCGACCAGGACGAGCTGCTCCCGGCCGAGCCAAGGGCCGGGGGCGGCCCAGACGGCCGCCGCGCCATTCGCCACCACGTCGCCGACGATACCCGCTGCGAAGCCGCTAGCGCGAGCTGGCACCAGAGCGCAGTCGCCGAGCTCCAGCCGCACGCCCTCCTCGCCGCTCAGGTAGATGGGGACGGCGGACTCCGAGTCGTCGAGCACGATCACGCCGGTGTCGCCGCCGCCGAACTCCGCGGGGCACTGGCCGCCGACCATGCAGATGGGGTAGCTCGGGCAGGCCGCGCCGGACCACACCAGGGATCCTACAGCGCTGGCAGCCCGACGATCCTCACCTCGACGCCTATCGGCATCGCACTCTGAGAACACCGCCGAGATGGTCAACAGCTTCGTTTGCACCGCGTCGGCCTCTGCACGCTTGACCGTGATGCCCAGCCCCGGCAGGTAGTGGCCCTGTAGCGTAGGCCGGTGCCCGATCCCCAGAGGGGGTGCATCGAGCGCTGGGGCCCCAAGAATGATAAGAAACGGCCTGTCCCAACCCCCGCGCAGAAGCCGAAGGCGAAACACACGCACCACTCGCGTACCGTCCAGCCCCTCGAAGGCCAGGCGCAGGTCCACCATGCCACGAATCTTCAGGTCGCCCTTGTCCGCCACCGACGAGGCCTTCGAGTCCCGGCCCCAGTGCATCAGGCCCGCGATCGGCCAGTCCGGGTCCTCAGGAGACTTGCCCTCCGCGATCGCGCCGTTGATGATGCTGACGATCGTCGCCTCCCACGTCAGGGAGAACACAGCCCCGCCATCAAGGAGCGTCCTGATGCTGAGGCCGTAGACGTGCGCGTGGCACAAGTAGTGGTACCCGTCGTCGGGCCCCTGCACCTGCGCCCAGGCGCTGGCGGGGATCTGGCCCAGGTCCTTCAGAGCTCCTTCGGGCGAAGGCGAGTCCCTGACGACGCTCACCTGCGGGAGGTCGTAGCTCGGGCCGAAGACGCCGCCACAGGGTCGCACCCATTCGAGCTTGCCCCCCGCCGCAGCTTGCACCTTCGGCGCCGCGCCAGAGGCTGCGGGCCGCGCCGCCTCCTCGGCCGCAGGCGCTGCTCCCTGGCCGCTGCCGGGGGAGCCCGCGCTGCCGAGGCTTGGCGGCGGCGCCTTAGCTGCGGCCGCGCCAGCATAGACCGCCGCAATGACCTTCTGAGCTGCCTTACCCGAGTGGCTGAACTTGCAGTCCTTCTCGCTCTTGCTGCACGCACCCCGGAGGAACTGCAGGCAGAGCTGCGACTTGAGGCCGCCCTTGCCGCCGTCGTCCGAGCCCTTGCCCTTCTTGCCGTCCGCGCCCTTGCCCTTCGGCCCGGTCGCGTCCTTCTTGGTCCTCCGCGACTCGGCGATGGCAGCCCGGTCGTGAGAGAACCTGCAGGCGTCGCCACGCGCACACGTGCCGCTGTCCCTCATCTGGAAGCAGACCTTCACAGCACCCTCAGCGCCGGCGCCGCCGGAGCCGCCAACAGCGCCGACCTCGGGCGGCTCCTGATCGCCGCCACCGCCACCGCGCCGACGCCGGCCACCGCCGCCGCCCGGGCTGGGCGCGAAGTCCGAGCCCACCGCCGCGACGAGCGCCTTGGCCGAGCTCTCGGCCTCCTCCAGCTTCAGCAGCACGCGATGGGCCTCCCTCCAGGTCTCGACGCCGCGGACCTCGGGCTGGGCGCCAGAGCGCTGATACACTCGGCGATCCTTGAGCACCTCTGCACGGTGCGCGGGAGAGATGAGCGCCAGGTAGCCGAGCAGCAGGTCGCGATCGGACTTGCCCATCCCAGCCAGCTCCATCTCCGCCACGATGTTCTCGAACGTCGCCTGAAACTCCAGCGCGCTCATCTTGCCGCGGGAGAGCGTCCTCCACTCGGCGTTGAGCCGCTGCTGCTTCTCCAGCAAGCCCTCCCTGAACTCCATCAGCCGCTCCTTCAGGCTCTGGTACACCTCGTCGGGATCCGCCGCCAGCCTGCCTGACCGGCGAGCCTGCTTCAGCTCGAGCGACCTTGTAAGCCCGCTGACGCGAGCCTTTCAGGCAGGTCCCCAGCACACGCACCATCTCCGTCGCCGACATCCCCGCACCGTCGTTGGCCAGCCCGACCATCTCCTCGAACTCCTCCACGAACGAGTCCACGTCGAAGTCGCCGTCGCCGAGCGTCGGCAGACTGTAGTGCGGCTTCACCTGGATCGTGGACGACTTCTTGTCGGCCCGCCGGCCGAGCGCCCCCGCGAGGCCCTGCAGCGCTGCCGCCAAGCTGGGCTCCGCCGGGCCCGCCTCGGTCGGCCCGCCCCGCGGGGGAAGCCCCGGCGGCAGGTCCTCGCCGAAGGCGGGGAAGGCGGGTGGCCCCGCGGGAGCCACGCCGACGCCGGCGGGCCCGGCGGGCGGGGCTCGGTCCTGCGGGGGCCGCGCCGGCGCCCCGCCGGCCACGGCGTCGCGAGCGCTGCCGCCGCGCGCCACCGCGAGGAGGTCCATCAGCGCCCGCACGTCCTCGTCGGCGTCGTCCGTCTCGACGTCCAGGACGGCGTGCAGCTTCGCCTCCAGCGCGGCCGCCACGCCCTCGCCGTGGGCCCGCGCCTCCACCAGGAAGCGGGCCTTCCTCATGCCGAACTCGACCGCGCCCTCCGGCACCGCCTGCCGCCGCAGCGTCAGCACAGCCCGCGCGCGCAGCAGGCGCCGCTCGAAGTCGCGCATCGACTCGTGCGGCTCCACGTCCTTGAGCAGCCGCTCCAGGACCTCGTCGTCCGTGAGCGGCCCCCAGCTGCCGTCCGACAGGGCTCCAGTGGCGTCGGAGCCCGCGTCGGACGCGCGCGCCGGCGAGTCCAGCAGCCGCAGGACGTCGTCGGCCGCCGGCGGCTGCGCAGCCGCTGGCGTCGCGGGGCTGCGCGCCGCGGCGGGGCCCTGCTGGCGCAGCCGCGCCTGCCAGTCCTGGCCGTGCAGCGCCTCCATGGTGCTCCGCCACAGCGCGCTCTCGCTGGCCGCGATCGCGGGCGCAGTGCGAAGCCGGCGACCTGGGCCGGCGCGCCACTGCACCCAGGCGCCGAAGGCCAGCAGCGGCGGCTGCGCCACGGCCCCATCGGCGATCGCCTCCAGCAGCGAGCCCTCGAAGCCGGCGACCTCCACGCCAGCGCCGGCCGCCGCCGCTGGGGCCGCGGCCGCCTGCGCCGCCGGCGCGCCAGCCTCCGCGCCCGCCTCGGCGTCGCCCGCCTCGGCGTCGCCCAGCTCCGCGCGAGGCGCACGCCGGGGCGACGCCATCGCCCGGGCCTGGGCCCGCTCGGGAAAGATTTCCCGGAGCAGCCCCCACGTGAGGCTCACCTGGAGCCTCGGCCCCTCAGGGCCTCGACAGCGGCCTCCTGGTGCCGCCCTCGGGCCCTATGGGCCCTCGCGGGCCCTCGGACCCCGGGCGGGCCCCCCGCGCCTCCCCCGCGCCTCTGAGGAGAGGGAGGAGGGGGGCCTTTCTCCTTGAGCCACGCGGCAGCGCGGGGCAAGCAGCCGTCGCCACCGGGGCCGTCGTCGCCGGCCCGCACTCCGCCGCCTGTGCGCCCATGCCGCTCCTCAGTAGTAGTAGTAGTAGTAGTAGTAGTAGTAGTAGTAGTAGTAGTAGTAGTAGTAGTAGTAGTAGTAGTAGTAGTAGTAGTAGTAGTAGTAGTAGTAGTAGTAGTAGTAGTAGTAGTAGTAGTAGTAGTAGTAGTAGTAGTAGTAGTAGTAGTAGTAGTAGTAGTAGTAGTAGTAGTAGTAGTAGTAGTAGTAGTAGTAGTAGTAGTAGTAGCAGTAGTAGTAGTAGTAGAGTAGTATAGTAGTAGTAGTAGTAGTAGTAGTAGTAGTAGTAGTAGTAGTAGTAGTAGTAGTAGTAGTAGTAGTAGTAGTAGTAGTAGTAGTAGTAGTAACAGCTGCAGTACGTAGTTGCAGCCATAGTACTGGTCGTAGTAGCACTAGTAGCAGTAGTAGTAGTAGTAGCAGCAGCAGCAGCAGCAGTAGTAGTAGTAATACGGGCAGAAAAAGCAAACGTGAAAGTAGAAGTAGTAGTAGTAGTAGTTGTAGTTGTAGTAGTAGTAGTAGCAGTCGTACTAGTAATAGTAGCAGTAGTAGTAGTCGTGGTAAAAGAAGTAGTAGTAGCAGTAGGAGTAGAAGGAGTAGTAGTAGTAGCCGTAATAGTAGTGGTGATGGTAGTAGCAGTAGCGGTAGTAGTAGTAGTAGTAGTAGTAGTAGTAGTAGTAGTAGTAGTGGTTGTAGTCGTAGTAGTAGTAGTAGTAGTAGTAGTAGTAGTAGTAGTCGTAGTAGTAGTAGGAGTAGTAGTAGTAGTAGTAGTAGTAGTAGTAGTAGTAGTAGTAGTAGTAGTAGTAGTAGTAGTCGTAGTAGTAGTAGTAGTAGTAGTAGTAGTAGTAGTAGTAGTAGTAGTAGTAGTAGTAGTAGTAGTAGTAGTAGTAGCAGTAGTAGTAGTAGTAGTAGTAGTAGTAGCAGTGGGTGTAGTACTTGTAGTAGTAATGATAGTGGTGGTGGTGGTGGTGGTAGGCACAAATGGCGGTGTCCACATGCGCCCCCCCCCACACAGGAGGGCGATCCGTGGCCCCATAGGGGGGTCCGCCTAAGGCCCCAGTGGCGATGTCCACATGTGCCTCCCCCACCCAGCACGGCGCTTCGTGGCGCCAAGGGGAGCTCCACCGAGGGCCCCAGTGGCGGTGTCCACGTGCGTCTCCCCCACCCAGTGCAGCGCTTCGTGGCCACGTGGGGAGGCCCGAAGGGCCTGCCCGCACCAACTCGGGAAGAGGGCGCCAGCGCACGTGCCCATCAACAACAACAACAACAACAACAACAACAATTACTAGCACGTGGGGACACTCCGTTCTCACCAGTGCCAGGGTTTTCATAGGAGGCGGGCAATACCCCCACTTTGTGGGGGGGCCGGTTCAAGCTCTACCAAATTTCCAAACGACTCTTCGCCACCACCCACACCCAGCTTCCCGCCCTATGACGTTCGGACACTTCACTTCGTGGCATGCGGACGACCGTGGCTACTATTCAGGGCCCCGCGGCCGACGACGACGGCGTGCGCGCGCGAAGAAAAAACGAATGTGTCCCGCATGGTATTATTTGACAGGGATGATGGCCCTGGCAGGTGCGCAACCGTTGTCGCAGAAGTTCGAAAAAGTTGCTCGCAAAAGCCCGTTTGACAGAAATGTTTAAAAAGTGTTGGGTTTCCTACGAATCCGCAAGAGCGCGCGGGATGAGATTTTGACATTTTTTTGTTGAAAAACCATTGGTTTTTTGATGTTTTTATGTTAAAATCGCTGCGAACACTAAGGTTTTGGAAGGATTTCGTCTTGCGCGCGCGAATGTCCACTTTACCTTATTTTTTGCAAGGGATTCTTGAAATTTGATTATATTAGAACAAGAAATGTCATTTTCTATTGTTTTTTGCAAGGGAAAGCGGATTACAACAAAACAACCGGATCCTGTACACACCCTCTTTTCTGAGGCTTCCTCACGAAAATGATGAAAATGTAGCTGCGGCCTAGGCGGCGCAGGGGGGGCGCGCACCAGGGGGCCCAACAATAATTATTCTTTAGAATAAATAATGTTCAACAACAACAACAACAACAAATACAACACCAACAACAACAACAACAACGCCGCCACCACCACAACAACCACAACAACAACAGCAACAACAACAACATCTACTCGGCGGCAAGCAAGGGGGAAGTGAGAAGGAGAGGGATTTCTGAAAAAGCTCAGAAGTCCCCCAGCCTTCTGAGAAGTTGGTTAAGCCTTCCCCCAAGACAGAAAGAAACTTCCCAGAAGGCGCGAGGGCCTCTGAGAATTCGCGCCGCCTTCTGAGAAGGCCTTCTCCTTCTCATGCCCCCCCCAATCGATCGCTTCCAAACGACAACAACCACCACCACCACAACAATCACAACAACAAACAACAGCAACCACAAGCAAAACATCATCATCATCACCACCACCATCATCATCAGCAGCAGCATCATCATCACCATCATCGCCGACAGAATCACCATCCGGCAGCACCACCACCACCACCATCATTATCATGATCATCATCAGCCTCGTCCTCAGAGTTCAACTCCTCGGCCTCCTCCGCTGTTGGTCGGCCTTCGACGAGTCATCATCATCCATGTCAGAATCCTCGTACATCTCGTTACATGTATATCCACCACCATCACCATCATCATTATCATGATCGGCAACATCAGCATCAGCATCATCAGCATCACCATCAAAAGCATCATCCTCAACATCATCCGCATGATGATGGTAATGATCATCGCCCGCGTTATCATCGTAACCGTCCTCAGCATCGTCCTCAGCAATATCATGATCATCACCGCCACAAGTATCATCATAATGATCACCAACACAATCAATGCCATCACAAGCAGAATCATCTGCAGAATGATGTGAACCATCATCATAACCAACTTCATCAACACCAGCGCCATCATGAACATCCGTATCGTCGACATCATCGTTATCATCAGCAGCAGCAGCAACAGCATCAGCATCATCAGAATCATAACCATCATCAGTATCAGTAGTATGATCGTAAGCATCAGCATCGTCATCCACCTCGTATGCATCGGCATCGTCATCGCCGTCGTGATCATCACAATCATCGTTACGATCATCTTCTTCATCATCACCACTACCGGCCACAATCCCTGTCATACTCCATTCCTCCCCCCTCGTCTTATCCTAATCGTCGTTCTGCTCATCCTCCTGATCCTCCTCATCCTCCCTCCCTCCCTCCCTCCCTCAATCCCCAATCCTACCCCATCCCCCTTGTTGCTCCTTTCTTCCGTCCCTCCATCCATCCATACATCAATCTATCCATCCTCCATCGTCCACCCTCCCTCCCCATTCATCCCTTCCTCGCTCCCTCCGTGCTTCACCCTCCCTCCTTTTCTGTGTGAGGAGGTTGGCGACCGAAGAGTCGAACCTACTAGATTTCCCGTAGGTAGGGGAAGGATAGGGATAAGGTCGCGAGCCCTTTTTTCCCATGCGCCGCGGACAGGCGGCGCTGTACCTAATACCAGTACCTGAACCAAGACGTCGGCAGTAGATAAGGATGTAATGTTGGTATGAACGGACTTCACACATATTCTTCTTCCCGCCTCCTCCTTACCCTCCTCCTCCACTCATCCCTCATTTCCGCCTCCTCCCTCGCCTCCATCGCCCTCCCCGCAGGCGCCCCCCAAAATACCAGCAGCGTCCCGGCGACGTCCATCCTGGCGAGCTTCTCATCCAGGGTGAATGGCGCCTGGCTGAGCGGTCGGCCGGTCGGATCGGTCGCCTCGATAGTCTTTCGATCGTCGATCGCTTCTGGACTCTCGTCGATCGTCGGTCAATCTTCGATCACTCTTCGATCGTCCGCGGTCGCTTCTTGTGCGCCCGTTCTTTCGGCCCCGATCGATGGACGGAGGACGAGGACCTCGTCGTACCCTTCATCGCGTCGTCAGATATCGAAAGATTCGTCGGTCGCCCACGACGTCTGTCGCCCGCCGACGCCGACCTCGGCCTCGCCCTCGTCCTCCTCGTACCGTCCCTTTGATTGTCCTCCTTCATTTTCCTCCTCATCATCATCGATCCGCATCCTCCTCCCCCTGATCCTCCTCCCCCTCATCCTCCTCCTCGTCCTCATCATCACCACCAGCATCATGACCACCAGAACGCCCATGACCACCACCATCGTCTTCATCACGGCGCTCGTCTCTCCAGGCACAGCCGTCCCCCTCGGACGGCGGGGCCTCTGGCGTCGTCATCGTTCACTCCAGTCCGGAACTGCGATGCAAAAAAGCGCGTCGCGCAGTGTCAGCTTGCAGCAGCAGGAGCAGCTGGAGTGCTGCGTGACGTCTTCGGGGGGCATCGAATCCGTGACAAGTCCACGTCGGATCCTCGTCGAGCCCACGCCAGACAGGAGGAATGACAGCCTCTTGCAGGACAGACGAAGCTCCCCGAGGTTGCGTCACAAGGAGCGCCCTACTCTGCAGCGGCGGGAGCATCGGGAGCAGCGGGAGACCCCCCGAAGCGGTGATCTTCTCGCAGCGAGCTCCCCGAGGGAGAAGAGCTGGTGGGACGTGAGGTGGGGCAGGGGCTAGGCGATCCACGTCCTGTCTATGCCTCTGCTGCTGCCCTCCACTGTGAGCGCTCACGTAGGCCAGGGCATGTGTAACAGCCTGGGCTCAAGAGGCTGGGCTTGCATCCATGCCCGCACTCTGGCCCCCACCGGCGGCGCCTCCGGCGCCGCCCCTGGCGCGCTGGTGCGCTCCGCGCGCCAGGGAGGGGGTTCCAGAGCAGATGTTCATGCAGTTTATTCATCTTCTACAGCCGGGTGCGCGCACTTCTCTCTTGGAGGGGCCGTCTCGAGCGATTTTTTCCTTTGACCCCAACTCCTGCCCCTCGGCGGCCGAGGTTTGGTGCCCTTCTCCCTGCTGGCGCCCCAGACCATGAGGGCCCAGCGCGGATCCAGGAAATCCGCGCGGAGCGCCAAAAGTTTATGCTTATAACCTATTCTCTCTGGACTCAGAAAAAGACATGCGACCACCCAGCTGGGTTTGCGTTCCCTGACCCCACCATGGGATAACCCACCCTGCGATTAGGTCGGGCATGTCCTCCTACGGGCGGATTTTGAAGGAAGAAAAATGAAAAATAGTCCAGAACCAAAATTGGAAATTGTCAAAACTAGTCCAAACATCGTCCCCAGACTATCTTTTTTACTATTCTTGAGCATTCCTCCTGTAGAGGACATGCCGGACTTAACCCTACCATGGGATGACCCACCCTGCGAACTCCTGCCAAGAGAACCCAGCGAAAGATCGACAAGGCCGGGTGCGCTCGGTTTCGGCGCGGCTGGCCCATTGCGGCCCGGGCTCAGAGAGCGCGTTCCACACGATGTCTAGGCCTGGGCGGTCGTTTTCGTGCACGCCGGGGGTCTTCCCTCCTTCCTCGCTCCTTCTTCGCGTCCTTCCTTCACTCCAGTGCTGCCCTCGTTCCTTCATTCCCTGTTTGCCCTTCCCCAGTCATCATTTCTTCGTCGCGGACTCCTCCTGCATGTTCGACGCCTGTTTTCACCCCCGCTCATCCGGGGAGAGAGAGAGAGAGAGAGAGAGAGAGAGACAGAGACAGAGAGAAAGAGACAGAGAGAAGAGAGAGAGAGAGAGAGAAACGGGGAGAGAGAGAGAGAGAGGCAGGGAGCATGAGAAAGAATGGTGCTGATGATGATAATGGTGACGATGATGCAACTATTGGTGAAAATACGGATGACTGATGATGTTGATTATGATGGCAATGACATGACAATGACAATGACAATGATGATGATGATGATGATGATGCTGATGATGGTGATGATGATGGTGATGATGGTGGTGGTGATGAGAAAGTTCTGGTGGTGGTGGCGATGAGGATGACAATTCGTATGACGAGGATGATGGCGATGATGATGACAATGATGATGATGATAATGGTAATGATGATGATGATGATGATGATGATACTGATGATGATGATGACGATGATGACGGTGATGATCATGAGGAGGAGGAAGATGAGGGTAATACTGATGTTGCTGTTCACCACCCTGAGAGTGTCGAAACACCGGCAGCTCCTCATGCTGGTTTCGACTTGAAGTCAAAAAACAATAGGACAGCTCAGCTACATTATCACTGTCCCCGCCATCTTGCCCAAGACATGCCGTATCCAGACTTTCTCGTACAACTTCCAACCGCGCCTGTTCATAGCCGATTCCATCCAATCGCGGTGCAATGATTTCGAAATCTTGCGACCTGGCCTTCCCAAGTCTACGGACTAACCTTGCAAAACCCTGTCTGTCAAAAGATCTCCAGACGTTTTGTCGCTCAACACGTTGGCAATTCTTCTCCAAATTGCGTGAAGTCAAGCCATCTGGGTCGAATTCCTTCTGCCGCACCCTAAGGCCTGCGTACCTGTATGTTCGACAAACGGCAACCGCATCCAAATCAAGGATACCCAACGCTCCTTTTAGATGTCGGAGTTCCGTGTCCTGGCGCTGGGCGTACTTCTCATCTCACTCCGACTTGGAACGATGCAACCTGAGATGCTTACGAAATAAATCGTTTGGCGTCGAACGCAATCGAGACAAACCGCTGTTGTTATGAATCTAAATTCCGGCAGACCACAACGCGCCATGAGTTCAAACGCTGGTGATGGTGATGGTTATGATGATGGTGATAATAACACGCTTATGGGAAGCGAGATTCTGAGTGACAGGTGACTGAGAAAAACAGGCGGTCACCAGAGTTGCAGGAGGAGAAAAAGTACGACACGCCGAATGCGTGACGAAAGCAATTGTTGACCATAAGTGCGGAGGAAGAAACCAAGACATGGAAAACCAAGAGGGAGAACAAACCTAACCGATTTTAGCACGCGAACAAGATACGACGTCAAATGACGATTGCATTGGTCACGTAAAGCTCTAGAAGCCTTCGTGCCACTGCAATAACTGACCGTTCGGATTCCAAGAGTGTGATCCTCCCCTTGTGCCCCCTGGCACGTCGAGGCGTGGAAAATTGCCAAGGTCTGTCTGATAGGGCGTTTGACTTCTAACGAGGAACCGCCCCTCCCTCACTGGCAGACTCTTGCGTACAGCCTCCTACTCACCGAGGCCACTTCCATCGCGCCCGCTCGAGGGCGGTGCACTTCCCGCCCGCATGGCAGCGAATGCCTAATGCTACATTCCACACGTGCCCGCCCGAGGATGGTACCACTCCCGCATGGCAGCCAATGCCTGAAACCCCATTCCACACGTGCCCGCTCGAGGATGGTGCACTTCACGCATGGCAGTTCATACCTGGACTAGAAGCACGGGATCCTAGCAAAGCCAGGATCCACCAGAGATGGTTTTGAAATGGTCGCCCGCTGGTGGCTCTGAGAGCCCCTGGTGGGCCCAAAGGTCGCCCAGCCAAAGGTTCCTCCCACGAGGGTGGCACACAAGATCAACACCTCGGTGGCCTGATTTGTTTCGCGGGAGCGTTGATCGACATTCCTGCCGCCCCACAGCCCCGACGAAACCCGCGGGGTACAAAACTCGACGAACTCCACATATGCATGATTTCTGGTATTGCCCCCGCGCGTTGTTTCAAGGCGTGCCCCCAATAAATCGAAACGCCCCTGTATCATCCCTGAGGATCGTCCCGCATCGGTCGGGATGCGCGAAATGGGAACATGGACTTACGAGGAGGGAAACTGGACGGGAGGGTATATAATAGCAGCATCATTGGTGCAAGGACGGTGGTGATGGTGACGAGGATGATGCAAGTGACTATACTAGCATCAGGCGTGAAAGGAACAGCTAGCATCAAGCGTTACGACCCAGACACACGGAAAATGGACGGGAGGGTGTATAGCAGCATACTTGTGATGGCACTTATGATGGTGACGGTGATGATGGTGACTATGACGGTGATGATTGTGAGTATGATGTTGATGGTGTCTTGGATGATGATGACGGTGATGATGGTGACGATGATGGTGATGATGTTGCTGGTGATCATGGCGGTGATGGTGATGATGGTGACTATCATGGTGATGCTGGTGGTGGTGATGGTAAAACTGATGATGATGGCGATGGTGATGCTAGTGACTGGGATGGTGGTGGTAGTGGCTATGCTGGTGATGTACGTGGCGATGGCGATGATGATGACCTACATATGGTAAGGTATATCATGTTCCCCGACCTGTGCCCTCATGGTGGGTTGCCGACCACGGGCACCAACGTGTAAGTTTCACGCCGACGCGTGAAAAGTCATTGGCCGCACTCCCACGGCAGCCTGAAACCAACTTGCACCACCTGCAACGATGAACTCCTGGCTGGGAGCTCACGCGCGCATGAACTCCAGCGCCTTGGCCTTGATGACATCGTGGAACTCGAGCTTCACGGCGCCCTCGGCCAGCGCGCCGCTCGCCTTGGTCAGCTCCTCGTCGACGCGCGCCTGCCTCTGCGCAAGGCCCGTCTTGTTGTCGCGGTGGATGTTGTGCATGATCTTGCACTCGCTGAGGGTCGTGTCGATGCAGCGGGCGCCCTCCTCGATCCTCTGCACCGCTGCAGCGAAGAACTCGTCGGCGCCTAGATCGACGAACAGCTTCTGTGCCTCCTTCTTGTACTCGTTGACGCTGTCGATGGCCTTCGTGCGCAGCGACGTCAACCTCTTGCTCGTACCCCTCTGCGCGACGGAGAACACGGCCCCCTCGGCCTTCTCGAGGATCTGCTCCCAGGTCAGCTCCCCGAACGACGCTGGGTCACCCTTGTAGTTCGCGCCGTCGGTCATGCCTCCTGATGGGGGGGGCGACTATACACATAACCAATGCAGCCCTCCCGCCTTCCCCATCCAGCCCAAAGCTTGAGCTGGATGAAGGGGGCGACGAGGAACACATCCGTTATTGCACATTCGCTGCCTCCCCCGATCCTTTCTGAGCGTCCACGGACGCCCGCCATCTTGCCGAGCTGCGCCGTCACCTCGGCCATCCCCGCGCGCTTGAAGTCCTCCAGCATCTTCCCGATGGTGGCGAAGAGGTCTGCGGGCGTCGACTCCATGAGGAAGAACTCGGCGTACTTCGTCTGGACCCCGACGTCGGACCAAGAAGCGGAACCGTCGAGCGTCAGCTTCTCCTTCCAGCGTTCGCGGCCGCTCTCCAGATACACCGCGTGCAAGGCCTGGAATGCATCGAAGCCGTTGTCGCTTGCTACCTGCTGCTCCGCGGTCTTGCCCTCTGCGAGGAGATCGATGGCCATCGCGATCGTGTTCAGCTTGTCGAAGAGGAGCTCCGCCAAAACCGTATTGTATGTGTCTGGCCACCCTTCGTCGGCGACGAACGTCTTGACCCTGGTGGTCATGAGGGTGAGCTGTTCCTTGTGAAGCTTGATGTCCATGGTCCACTCGGGAGAGACCGAGACCTGTTCTGAGTACTTGCGAATGCTCGCCATGGCAGCCGTGTTCACCGTTACCATGGCATGGCGAACTGTCTCGGTGTGGTCCGCGTCGGCGAAGTGGAGCTGCCTCTGGTAGATCGTATTCTTGAGAGCGTTCGTGTTATCGACGGTCGGGGCAGAGGCGAACCTCCGCAAAACCAGCACAGCTTGCTTGGAACCGTCGGCCTGCTTCATGTCTTCGTATGTTGCCAAGGAGATGCTGCGCAGCACGTTGATCCTTTCTTTCAGACTCGAGCACTCCTCAAAGCTAGTCGAGTTGCACAGCTCCTCGATGAAGCGGCCGATGTCGCCCATCTCCTTAACTTCGAGCTCCTCGACGGCGATGTGGGCACGGAGCCACGTGTTTATGGCGTCCAGCAGCTTGGCCCACGCCACGTCGCAAGCGGTCGGCCTGCACAGCTTCGCAATGCGTGTCATCTCAGTCACGTTGCCCGTGAAGAACTCCTGCTTGTCCCCACTCGGAATGTCATCAAGCGTTTTCATCAGGTGGACAACCTTGGGAGCGAGGTCGAACTCGCCCGCCCTGTGTCCCATAAAAAGTGCCAGCGCTGGAGCCCAGAACTTGCTGTCCTCGATGTCCTGCTTGGTGGTCTGCCAGCACTTGTCCAAACTCCCACCCAAGAACTTCTTCACAATCAGGCTGTCCAAGTTCACAAGCTTGTCGACCCCTGGCGCGTCAAGTGACCCCAGAAGGCGCAGGATGGCAATCAACTCCAGGGCACAGTTCTTGAGAATGTCGTAATCCTGTAGCGTGCCTGTATACTTGTCGACGGTCGCGTCTTCCACGATGTGTTCCATATCGTCGACTAACCTCGCATTGAGATACCTCCCCGACTGGCCTTGCTTGACCAAGGGCATCACGACGCACTCCGAGGCCACCGCCCGAAACCTGGCGACGAAGGCAGCTGGCTCAGGTGTATTGATATCCCGCAGGC